GCAGCTGCCCGGTGTGCTGGGTGTGGGGCTGGGAGTCCTGGCGGTGACCCACATCCCCTTGGCCAGGAAACCTACGGGGAGGACCCGTTCCTGAGCGGAGAGCTGGCCCGCAGCTTCGTGGAGGGGCTGCAGGGCCAGCACCCCCGCTACATCAAGGCCAGTGCTGGCTGCAAGCACTTCAGCGTGCACGGGGGCCCTGAGAACATCCCCGTCTCCAGGCTCAGCTTCGACGCCAAGGTGAGTGGGGCAGGGGGGCTGCAGGATGGCCAGCGGCCCCCTGGGTGCTGACCCCTCTCTGCTGCGGCGCTTGCAGGTGCTGGAGCGGGACTGGCACACCACCTTCCTGCCCCAGTTCCAGGCATGCGTGCGCGCTGGCTCCTACAGCTTCATGTGCAGCTACAACAGGTACCGAGCGCAGTGGGGGGCTGTGTGGCTGGGCTGCCTGGGGGGTGGCCAGTGCCCGGCCTGCCGGGCTGCCCCATTCCCTCTCCGACAGGATAAACGGCGTTCCTGCCTGCGCCAACAAGAAGCTGCTGACAGACATCCTGCGTGACGAGTGGGGGTTCAAGGGCTATGTGGTGAGCGATGAGGGGGCGCTGGAGCTCATCATGCTGGGGCACCACTACACGCGCACCTTCCTGGAGACGGCGGTCGGTGAGCTCACGGGACGGGTGTGGGGTCCCCGGGCATCACGCAGCAGTGTCAGGCGGTTTCCCTTCTCACCGGCATGGCAGTGTCGATGAACGCTGGCTGCAACCTGGAGCTCTCCTACGGCGTGAGGAACAACGTCTTCATGCACATCCCCCAGGCTCTGGCCATGGGCAACATCACGCTGCAGGTGAGCAGGGGAGCAGGGCCAGGGGCACGGGCAGGGAGCCAGGACTACCCCCACCAAGCACAGCTGAGGTTTTGGTGTCGGGGTCTTTGCAGATGCTACGTGACCGGGTCCGGCCCCTCTTCTACACGCGGATGCGGCTGGGGGAGTTCGACCCCCCGGCCATGAACCCCTACAGCGCCCTGGACATGAGCACCGTGCAGAGTCCTGAGCACCGCAACCTCTCGCTGGAAGCTGCTGTCAAGAGCTTCGTGCTGCTGAAGAACACGCAGGGGACGCTGCCCCTCCAGGCCCGGGACCTGCCCGGCAAGCGCCTTGCGGTGGGCAGCACGCCTGGTGACGGGGGGCTGCTGCCTCCATATCCCGTGCACGCAGTGTCCCCTCCTTTGGAGAACCGCAGGCTGTGGGCCACAGGGCTGCTGGTGCCCACCCTCACCCCTCTGCGCTCTGCAGGTGGTGGGTCCCTTCGCCGACAACCCCCGGGTGCTGTTTGGGGACTATGCACCGGTGCCAGAGCCGCGGTACATCTACACTCCCCGGTGAGATAGCGCGGTGCCACCGTACATCCCCTGGTCCTGGGCATTGCCCGGGGATGCTGCTCGAG